GGTAATGAATCATGTAAGTAAGTAAATTTACTTACTTACGTTTATACATGGTTATAATCATGAACGAATTTTAAAGTAATGTGCAATTCACACGTCCACACCCAGTAACAATTGTAATGAGTTATCAGTGCAAATATTAATTGTTGGGTGACACACGCACACACACACACACTTTCCAGAGCTAAGGGGAATGTCCTACGAAGAAAGGTTAAGGGAAATAGGCCTGACGACACTGGAGGACAGGAGGGTTATAGGAGACATGATAACTACATACAGATATTGCGAGGAATAGGTAAGGTGGACAGAGACAGGATGTTCCAGAGATGGGAGACAGAAACAAGGGGTCACAATTTTGAAGTTGAAGACTCAGATGAGTCAAAGGGATGTTAGGAAGTATTTCTTCAGTCACAGAGTTGTCAGGAAGTGGAATAGTCTGGAAAGTGAGGTAGTGGAGGCAGGAACCATACATAACTTTAAGACGAGGTATGATAAAGCTCATGGAGCAGGGAGAAAGAGGACCTAGTAGCTATCAGTGAAGAGGCGGGGCCAGGAGGTGAGTCTCGACTCCTGCAACCACAAATAGGTGAATGCACATACACGCCAGGGCCAGGAGCTATGACCCGACCCCTCCAACCACAAATAGGTGAGCCAGGAAGTGGAACAGTGGCGAGTGATGCAGTGGAGGCAGGAACCATGCATAGCTTGAAGACGAGGTATGATAAAGCTCATGGAGCAGGGAGAGAGAGGACCTAGTATAGTTCAGTGAAGAGGCGGGGCCAGGAGCTGAGTCTCGACCCTTGCAACCACAATCAGCTGAGTACAATTAGGTGAGTACATGCACACACAGTTCGATTTTAGGCCCTTTTAAGTACACTGGATTTTTAAAGAGATTTAGCCGGTGAAATTGCCGACCTAGAAAATGTACAGAGAACTTTCACGGCGCGCATAACGGAGATAAAACACCTCAATTATTGGGAGCGCTTGAGGTTCCTAAACCTGTATTCCCTGGAACGCAGGAGGGAGAGATACATGATTATATACACCTGGAAAATCCTAGAGGGACTAGTACCGAACTTGCACACGAAAATCACTCACTACGAAAGCAAAAGACTTGGCAGACGATGCACCATCCCCCCAATGAAAAGCAGGGGTGTCACTAGCACGTTAAGAGACCATACAATAAGTGTCAGGGGCCCGAGACTGTTCAGCTGCCTCCCAGCACACATAAGGGGGATTACCAACAGACCCCTGGCAGTCTTCAAGCTGGCACTGGACAAGCACCTAAAGTCAGTTCCTGATCAGCCGGGCTGTGGCTCGTACGTTGGTTTGCGTGCAGCCAGCAGCAACAGCCTGGTTGATCAGGGGCTGATCCATCAGGAGGCCTGGTCACAGACCGGGCCGCGGGGGCGTTGACCCCCGAAACTCTCTCCAGGTAAACTCCAGGTAAACACGGATAATTTTTTTTTTTTGCCTAGTATTATATATATGGGTTTTGTTGCAGTGTTCAAGAAAGTGCTTCAGGTCGGGATTATTATTAGAATTTATTGTTCTGTAAATGTAGGATGCACAGCAGTAACAGTGAATGTTTTGTATAGTGAGTAGGTTTAGGTCTTTGAAGAGAAGGGGGGTGGAGGTTGCTTAACAGTGGATTGTGATCATTTGAACTGCAGCTTTTTGTTGGGTTATTATTGGCTTTAGGTGAATTGCTGTTGTGGATCCCCAGGCGCAAATAGCATAGGTGAGGTAGGGGTAGATCAGTGAATAGTATAATGTAAACAGTGCTGTTTGTGGTACATGATAACGTATCTTTGAGAGGATGCCAACTGTTTTGGATACTTTTTTTTTTTGTTGTGTTGGATATTAGTTGAATTTCAAGTTGCTGTTAAGGTGCAGACCCAAAAATTTTCCCACATTATGTTTAGCAATAAAAGTATTGTTAACCATAATGTTTAGTTGGACATTATTTGCTCTGTTCCCAAACGTAATTAAAAGGTTTTGTCAATGTTAAGTGTAAGTTTATTGGTAGTCGCCCAGGTTGATATATTTGCGAGCTCTTCATTAACAACAGTGTTGAGTGAGACAAGATTATGGTGAGAGATGACAAAAGTTTTGTCGTCAGCGAAGAGAATAGGTCTAAGTTGTTGCGATACATTTGGAAGATCGTTGATGTATAATCTTTTGACTACCGCTCGCAGAATGGGTATGGGGTGCATAATAAAGATATTAAAAAGTTGATGTATTAAAGGAAAAGTAGGGGGCCAAGGATGCTTCCCTGTGGTATGTAAGTGTCCAGAGGTCTTGTTGAGGAGGTTGTCCTTATAAAGACTAGTGGCTAAAGCTCTCTCTTCACACACGGAGAGCCAGGGTTCGATTCCCGGCGGGATGAAAACATTTCGACGTGTTTCCTTACACTTGTTGTCATGTTCACCTAGCAGAATAGGTACCTGGGTGCTAGTCGACTGGTGTTGGTCGCATACTGGGGGACAAGACTGAGGACCCCAATAGAAATAAGTTAGACAGTCCTCGATGCCGCGCTGACTTTTTTTTAGGTTATCCTGGGTGGCTAACCCTCCGGGGTTAAAAATCCGAAGAAAATCTTATCTATAAGATTATAGGTGCATGGCCTCTTATACCGTAATGATTAGGTTTTTAAGTAGGATGCTGTAGTCTACTGTATCAAAAACTTTCCTTATGTCGATAAAGAGTTTAGTTTAATATCTTTATTATGCACCCCATACCCATCCTGTTGGCGGTAGTCAAAAGATTACAGAGGTACATAATGGGTCCAGGGACTGGACCCCGATGAGGAGCCCTAGAGGAAATTCATTTTTTTCGAGTGCTGTGTAAAGCAGGTCTAGCATTTTATAATTGCTTCATTTGTGCTTTTGTTTCTCCTGAAGCCAAACTGGAAGAGGTTGAGAATGCTTTGTGATGTTATAAATGAGTATAATCTCTTGTGTATGAGTTTCTCGAAGATTTTGGATAGTAAAGGCAAGTTTGATTTTGGCCTATAGTTGTTTACTTCTGTTGGGTCACCACCTTTGTGTATTGGTGTAACCCTTGCTGTCTTGGGTAATGTCGGGAAAGTGCTACTTTCTAGTGATTTGTTAGAGTAATGTAATGGTGGGAAAGAGGACATGAGACGCTAGTTTGAACACTAGTGATGGGACATGAGCTATATTTCCTTATTTTTTTTAGCGAATTAATAATCAAGATGACTTCAGTGGGCTTGGTTGGTGCAAGACAGAGGGATGTTGGGAAGTTCCCATCTAAGTAATCACTTGCTTGGATATTGGTACCTGGAATTTTTCTGGCGAGACTTGATCCTATGGTCGAGAAGTCATTTATCTTGCTAGCTGTGTTAATTGGCTGGAGTTGCTGTTCGTTTGGTTTAGTTAGGACAATAGGTTTAGCGTTTTCACATGAATGCTTTAAAGAATAAGATGCAAATCTGATGACTGCTACACTGTTGTCTTATTATTACGGCATTATATATTACAGTATTATATAAAAAAAAAACTTTTTGCAGCTGCATTAATTAGGTACTGTTGTAGCTGGGTACAACAAAATTATCTTTGCTTACCCTAATACATACCAAATTAGCTTCAAGGTGATATATTGACCAAACTCTAATAACTTTCAGAATGTAAACAAGAACATGTGTACTGAACTGCAAAAATCCATGTTGAAAGTCGACCAGTAATAATATAGGCGGAAGACAATGAAAATTCTGCATAGAAGACCCAAGTGACTATAACTTATCTTACCACATTAGTAAGTGTTTTGTTACTTAGTTTTACTACCTCAAGTACATCTTATTAACTGCATCACATGCTTAGCACAGCATGTACAACCTGAATATTTTTTTTATATATTTAATTTAGTATTTAATTTATGTAATTACACTTGTTCACGGAATTTTTTATTGTAGTGTTGTCATTTAATCACTGTACTCTTGGCTCTTTAGCCTGATGTTTGCATATTGCCATGGTAAACAAACACTAAATTACCAGTATTGTATATAGGGTCATCTTGACATTTCACGTGTAGATTAAACAAACAGTAAAAAGAGGTCTTTTTCGCTGCATTTCGATCCACATCGGTTTTAACTTTGACACATATAACAACTGTAACTTCACTTAAGTTGGCGTTACTTGTTATTAATGCGTGTGTGCAAAACATCATGGGTATTAGGAAGTATGATATAACTTTTCCATCCAGTCTCTAGCTTGTTAGGTGACTATTTGTACAAAAACTAAGAGATAAGGTGGGGATACTGATAAGTGTTGAAGTCATAGTTTGTGCTCGGTGCATTTAAATCTAGTTAAAACGAATAAACAATTTGAATATAATGCAGAATGAGAAAATAGTAATGCTAAATGAAAGATGGACAACTATATGAACATAAGAATGGAGGAGTACTGCAACAAGCTTACAGGTTCATGATAGGCAGGTTAAACTCAATCCCACTCATGTACCTTTCAACAATTCTTAAAGCTAACTCTGTGAAAAATTTAAATAATGATATTGTTGCTGGAATAATTCTCATCTAACAAATACAATTTCTATATACTATGTGCTATATAAATCGATTGAAGAAAATATTAACATCTGAATTTCACGAAGTGGAATTTTTGTGAATGTTTAATTGTATAAGATTTAAGAATTCTGTATATTCCCGTTTTTTTTTCAATCAATGACAATTGTAAGCAAAGTGATTAATTGTCTTCAATATTTTAGGTCACATGTGATATATGCTGTTAAGGCTAAATAAGAAGCTTTTCCATCAGTGTTCCAGCATCTATTAAAACTGAAAATGCAAGTTCCAAGGAGAAACTGGATTAAATATGGTAACTATAACAATGTATACTTGTATTTCTAGTTTAAATACATTGCAACGCAACACCATATACTGGATTAATTTATGTGAAATAACTCTATGTTCATCATAGGCTGCGGTTAATGTATGGTACAGCAGCCATCAAAACATTTGCATAACAATGAAAAATTGTAGAAATAGGTCATGTATGGAACAAGGAAAACCTCCGGTACAAGGAAACCTTCCTGAACAAGAACCTTCTGAAAAAGGAGAACCTCCGGAAAAAGGACAACTTCCAGAACAAGGAGAACCTTTGGAACAAGAACCTCCAGAACAAAAACCTCAGGAACAACGAGACCCTCTGGAACATGGAGAACCTCTGGAAGAAGGAAAGTTCCTGGAACAAGGAGAACCTCCGGAACAAGGAGAACCTCCAGAACAAGGAGAACCTCTGGAACAAGGAGAACCTCTGGAACAAGGAAAACCTATGGAACAAGGAGATTCTCCGAAACAAGGAGAACCTCCAGAACAAAGAGAACCTCTGGAACAAGGAGAACCTCTGGAACATGGAGAACCTCTGGAACAAGGAAAACCTATGGAACAAGGGGATCCTCCAAAACAAGGAGAACCTCCGGAACAAGGAGATCCTCCGGAACAAGGAGATCCTCCGGAACAAGGAAATCCTCCGGAACGGGATTCTCTGGGTAGGAGCACGGGACACAGCTGTAAGGATAAAGATCCAAGGCAAATACCAACTGAACCTGTGGTCGTTGCTTCATTTAAGAGCGTAAAAACGAGCAACTGTAAAGATAATTATAGCACAGGAGCCTCAGGAACATTAAGTCTAGATGAAAAACAAATTGAAAAAATAATTAATGAGAAAAATTCACAGAGTAGCAGTGCTGGGGATGACAAATATCTTGATTTTGCATCAAACGCTGAAATCAAGCAGGAAGTTGAAGATATTAATACGAGTCAGGAATTATGTGATGAACACATTCACTTAGGATTAGTTAATTCTGATAATCTACTTGAAAAAGACACAGGATCTTTCAAAAAACCGCATAAATGTGATTACTGTGAAACATCATTTCGAACCCCTTATGAGCTGGAACGCCATGGCAGAATTCACAGTGGTGAAAGGCCTTTCAAGTGTCAGTTGTGTGAAATGTGCTTCAAACGGAAAGATCATGTTGAAGTGCATATGCGACGGCATAATGAAGACAGACGCCACGTTTGTGATATATGTGGCATGTGGTTTGTAACATCGTCATGTCTGCTACGACATAGGAGGCGAACCCACCAGGTAGCTGATCCTCCTAGTCATTTAAGGCAAAAATCTAAACCAAAAAAAATGCACAGTAGATGCTCGTATAATGCTAACTGGAGAGAAGATGAGAAGGTATCACCTGATGATGGTAATCAGAATTCTTTACCCACGGGGAAACAACGAAGCAAATCTAAGAGGTATAAGAGTAGAGCTAAGGGTGATAGTACTTACCGGCCTGGAGGCAAAACGGTTTGCGTTTTCAAAAAGCGTAAATTGAGAAATAGGAGTTACTCGTTTGCTGAATTAGACGACGATATTGAATGCTTTGAGAGTGATGAAGGGGATAAAATTCCTTATCTTAAGATACAAACTAAGAATAGCGAACAGGAAGTTGACAGTGTGATCAATGAAGCCTGTGAACTACAACATAGTTTGTTTCCTGTTGACTTTTTCAGTCATTCATCCTCTCTGGATCATGTGCTTTTGCTGGAAGAAATAAACAAATTAATATCAAATAGGTCTCTCACTGATTCTAGAGAATGTAAGTTAGATGTCTCTTGTGCCAGTGACCTAAATTTAGAAGGTGGATATCCTATATTGGAAGAAAAACACACTGATGAGCCTAAGTCAGAATCAGAAAGCGAAGGCTCAGAAGTACCACAAATTTCATGTGACGTGACTTTTGAAGAGCCAGAAAATGAAACTAAAGCTAATAATACAAACAGTGAAAAAAAAAACATTGACCCTAGCTCTAATGCTACTTTAAGTTTCACCGTGGACAGTGACAAAGATTTATCAGTTGACGCATTGAAAATGCAACTGAAAGGAAATACATCTGAAAATTACAGTAGTAGACTATTCCATAAAATTGACTTAAGAACAAGTACTATTTCTAATAATATTTTGTTGAGTCTGCGAAAATACAGATGGGAGCGGAAGAATGTATAGTGAAAGACAATGAAAGGTGTACACAATTACTGAAAATTCTCTATCGCTCTCTAAGAAAAACAAGACATGTTAGCAAAACTGATGAAGGTTGCCCAGACAATGAATTATCTATGACTGAACGTCATATCTCACATTGTCTGCCTCATTCTACACTTTTAAGGAGCAGGAAGAGCATATGGCAGAATCGTTGTATTAGGAAAAAATGGCTTAATAAAAGTAGAGACTTTTTATATGCTCACAGCTTTAAAGAGGATACTGAAATTAAAGCACATACAAAATCTAATAAATGCCATTTGTGTGATTTGTTTTTTCGGTCTCTTTCAGAATTCAAGCGACATGCTAGAATTCATAGTGGTGAGAGGTCTTATCTTTGTGAATTATGTGGTTTTGGATTTATTCAAAAATGCCATTTACACTTGCAGGTGCGAAGACATACTGGTGCAAGACGTCACACATTAGAGAATGTGGAATGAAGTTTTTTACTACATCAGATCTCAGTAGACATATATTAATTCACAAAACAAACAAACCATTCAAATGTCATGTATGTACTGTAACATATAGGAGAGCTTCGCATTTAGAGCAGCACATTCGACGCCATATTGATGCAACTCCACTTACAGGTCATTTTTGTGACACATTTTTTACCACCGCGTTACTCAAAAAACACGAGAAGCATCATTTTAATGCAGACCCACATTCCTGCCCTGACTGCAGTGCGTCCTTCAGCTCTGCGACATCTCTTTCCAAACATCGACATGTACGTACTGATGCTCAATACAATCTGATGAAAATCTGCGTTAAAGGTATGAAAATTAATGATCGGTATGAGTGCATATCATCAAAAGGATCACCACTCTCGCTTATTATAAGGAGAGTCACCGGAGGATCCAATTTGAAAATACCCGGTGTGAAAACATGCACCAAGGAAAAATTTCAGCCTCAAGATACGTATGTAGATGACATTACTGAGCAATGTATTTCAGACTGGGAGTCAAAAGATTATTTTCTGAGAAATACATCTTCACAGAATTGCAAAGATTTGAAACCTTTAGAAAAGCAGTCAAGAAAAACTTCGAAGAGTAATAATCACGAGGACGACAATAAATTTTCCAATGAAGACGGCTCGTTTTTGACAGAGAATAAAACTATTGAAGGTAGCTTTGATATTTCCATCAAAGATCGACCATTAAGTTCAGATCATAAAGAGAAAATTGTTCTTGGTAATACAAGAAATATGTTAATAAAATCAAGTGCCCCAGGGAAAGTGTGCAGTGGTAATGAAAAAGATGTTCAAAGCGTTAGTAAATTTAGCCCATGTAAGGTCAGTTGCACTGAAGATTTAACTAACACAGTTTCCGAGACCCTAGTAAACGTTACTAAAGATGAACTCGGCACATTTCGTTCGTGTATATTGCAAAATAAAGTGAGAATTGGAAAGAAATGTATTCCACCAATAGAAAATAGTACTTCGTCCAGTACCTTGCATGAAAATTATAATGGAGAAAATAATATAAAAAACCAAGATGCAGATATACATTTTAACGGTGTCATGCAAAATAAGGTTAAAACTTTGTCTCAGGAAGCTACTGTCCTTTGTAAAAATCAGGCACAGACAGCTGCTTTAATAGATGTTAATTCTGAAGGGGATTGCATTGTTAAAGAGAATGGAGTGGCATATCAAGATGTGGTCAACTTTAATGGGAATCGTGAAAATAATACATGCCATAAGGTTTCTCCTCTGAATTCATGTGTTCACTTTAAGAAAGGCAGAAGTCAGGTTTCCAACAATTTGGAAGTGGATCCTGAAAATAAAAGTGGTTCTGTTGGAAAAAAATATTTCGTCCCACATTCTGAAGCCTCATCGAGTAATACAAAACTTGGAAATCAACAGCCAGGAGAGATGTTAAGCCTACAAAAGAACGAACAAATTACTGAGTTATTCACCTCAAAAACATTACCAGCAGGATCTGAATTGCATTGTATCTCAGAACTACCACTGATATCACCAATTTCATGTGGCAGTGAACAAAAAGCTATTATGCCTAAAGCAACTCCAGTAAGCTCTGTTGTAGCAAGCACGATAAAGGAAAATAAGAGAGAAAATATGATAAAGGCAAATGATGCAGAATCTATGATAGAGGAAATGCATACAAAAAATTCAGATACAATTTATCCTTTCTCTAAGGAAAAACAAAGTGATGATGGTAGGCTGAAACCATTCTCATATGTTTCAAATAATGAAAAAAACGTAAATGTCCAACAAAAAATTGGAATTACAAGCTCACATTCTGCCCCATCAAGTAGATATCAACAATCAAATGATTCAGGATCATTATATGAAAGCCAGGAAAGTAAACGAAATTCAATAACCACGTGTCCTACTTTATTACATAAAGCACCTGAACAATTTGGATCAGAGATTATAGGTGAAAGGAAGCCTCTTATACAGGAAGCACCAATTAGGCAACAAAACAGACTCAAACATAAGCTAGCAGCAGTGAAATCTTTGAATGATGAAAGATTTAAGTATATCAAACAAGATCTAGTCTCCAAATTTGTTTCACTATACACAGATAAATTAAAGGAAACTCAATATAGCACTCATGTTTATAATTATATGCCTGATATTCCAAATGGTAGTATGGCTGATATTTATTTGGGAGGTTCTCATATTTTAACAAATCCTCAGGAACCAAATCATGAGAGAGTGATCTCAACTACGACAGAGAACTGTATGAACAACAGCTTAAAATTTCAAATTAGCAATATCCTTGCACTAGGATCATATGTATCTCATTCGGCATCTTCATCCACTTAACCCAGTTTTAATCAAAGAAAAATAAATGATGTTGACCCAAGATAGAGAACCCTAATTCTAATACGATTTAGTAACTTTTACCATTTCATCATTGTTTATGATAATGGAATTGGATATTTTTGTGTCCTGTTTATCTGTTGCTTTTAGTAGTACTGTACATAGGTGCATAGCAATTGATCATTTTTTTTTTTGTTGTGGTAGAAAGACTCAGGATCTCATACATTAAGTGTAAATATTTAGATTTTATTACTGCACTTTGCAATTTCCCTTATTCAGTAAATGTATTAAAGCTTCATAGTGATGTATTTTAATATTATCGTAATGTATGTTATGAATGTGTTCAAATGCAGTACTGTATACAGTAATTTGTTAAAGATTACGTAGGTATATTGACAAATGAATATTTTAGCGATTGTTGAGTGATTATTAAGCTGCAGGATAAGTTCATACTTTATAGCGCAAATTTCTCCCAATTTTGAGGTAGAAAGTTGGAAATTCGGATCACAGAGAAAGAGGTATTTCTGCTTACAATATTGCAGTTGAAACTTACCTGTATATTAAATGAATAGTATATAGAATGAATTTCTGCCAATTACTGACTTAAGATGCTCGGGATCAATTTTAGAACTTAAAAGCTCTCTTTCTATTGGCTTTAGAGGTCTTTGAAAGCGTATGTTCAAAAAAATTATAGCAACATATAATAAACCACGGTACGGGTGGGGTTAGAACCCATGGCAAGTTAGTCGTAAAACTCCAGGCCAGTGCGTAAGCCACTGGGCCAGTTAGCGGAGATTCAACTGTAAAAACTTGCATTTGTGGTTGCAGAGGGGCCCATGCTAATCTTCTTATGGTGTAAAAAAACACTTAGATAAATCTTATTGTAGCCAGCAGGCCCAGTGGCATACGCTCTGGCTTGGAGTTTTACGACTCGCATGGGTTCTAGCCCCACAGGTACCGTAGGTTGTTTGTAATCGTGTTATTACGGTTTCGTGAAACATAATACGCTGTAAGTGCTAAAATTTTAGGTACAAAACAAAGTTTGAGAACAAGTCTAATACTGTGACTGGAGGAAATCTTAAGTCCACAAAATGAAAATTTGGCCCAAGCTTTATTTAAATAAATGTTGTCTCTCTCTCAGTACATTGTGAAATGCTCTGATCTTCAATACATGAGATTTGTCCTGATCTTTGCTATCTGCCCCCACTGCCTATTATCATATTACAATAATCCATACAGTTCTCTTAGATTCTTAAACACTTGAAAACAAATAATGCATTAAAAAACAAGATTGCTTAACAACCTTTCTACCTTACTGCATGTTGTAGTTACTTCACATAAATAACAAACTCTATAAATAAAATTGATATCATGACTGATTTACAAGAACAAGTATACCGTGCTGTAAGAGGTCACAACACATCAAATAACCACATACTGAAGAACATCACACATCACTCGAGTTACTAGTCTTGCAAGACACCGTTATACGTGAAATCATGATATATAGGTTTCATAATTCGACAAAAATAATAATTTTCCACATAGTACTTAACATTTTAGTTGGATGTACTGAAGTGTACATTAATAAAATACAATGCATTTAGCTAAAAGAACATGTAAAACAATAACAAAATCTTATTTTAAATTCTGGTTGGTGGTCCAGTATTTTTGGTCTTGGAATGCATAAAGAGGGTTGATGTGGATCACTTTTATTTGTATTCTGCTCGGGTCACACATTCGGTAACTTATAATAACTTTCCAGTTTATGTACAAGTATTGACCTCTCATTATTTTCAGGTTAGAAACTCTTATCTTCACCTCATTCTTTCTAACTGTACAAATTGTTTAATTGTTTTCATTGATTTTAAGCCTGCCCGTAATGCTATGCATTCAAGTGGCTTTGGCATGCTGCATTTAACTGTATTCTTTTGTACTTCTTTGTATCATGTTCAAATTAAAAAAAAAAAAAAGGCGAAGGCCATCTGCAATACATGAGTACTACCTTTAACTATATTAAAGATTTTTTTTTTTCAAAACTCATGCTTATTCCCCTTCCTGACATGTCCAGCATTACTTAATATCCAAGAGACGAGATGGGTGGTGGATGAAAAAAAAGTCAAAATCAATTGAATAACAAAGAATGAGTACGGTATGAGTACCAGTCTACAAGGTAATTAGAGCGGGGGTGTTGT